TATCACAGACAGCATTGTACCTCATGACTGATCTGGATATGTTCTTTTTGACAATGAATGCAACACCATTCCTCTTCAATTTGTCATTTCTGGCATAGTAAACCATGTGGTCATCAGATTCAAAATGGCCAATACCAGTCCATTTCCTAAGCTATAGATGTTTATGCATTCCATTTCATTTTTGACAACTTCCAATTTTCCCAGATTCATACTTCATACATTCCATGTTCTGATTTCAATGGATGTTTACAGCATTTCTATTCATTCTGAGTTGTGCCCCATCAGCAAATGAAGGTCCTGCAGGCTTTACTCCATTCGCGTCATCACGGTCAACTCTACTTTGAGGGGGCAGCTCTACCCCAGTCGCATTTTGAGTGCCTTCCAACTTGAGGGGCTCATTTTCTGGTACTGTACCTGACACTGTTTTTCTGCTATTCATAAGGTTTTCAATGACTAAATATTCAGAAGTAGTTCTTCACTCCTTCTTCCTAGTCAGTCTTCGTCTGGAAGCTCACCTGAAACCTGTTCACCATGGGTGACCCTGCTGGTATTTAAAATACCAGTGGCATAGCTTCCAGAATCATAGCAACTCACAAGCCACCACAGTATGACAAACTGACATAGATGTCAGTTTATACATGATAACATTCAGAGAGGAGCTTACACCAATTCTGCCAAAAATATTACAGAACATAGAAAAGAATGGAGAACTTAAGAGTTCGTTCTATGAAGCAAGCATAATCCTGTTATCAGGAAAAGACACCAATAAATAAAAAAAAGAAAATTAGACCAATATCCCTCATGATTAGAGACACAGAAATTCTTAACAAAGGAGCGGAGGTCCTTTCTCACAAGAGAATCCAACATCATTTCCAAAAAAAAGGAATACATCATGACCAAATAGGATTCATACCACACATGCTCAACATTAGAAAAACAGTCAACATAACCCATCACATATATAAAACATTGTTGTTGTTGTTATGGTTAAGTGCCATTGAGTTGGTTCTGACCCATAGCGATCCTGTATAGGGTTTCCAAGGAGTGGCTGGTGAGCTTGAACCACCAACCTTCGTGGTTCATATGACTTTGCAGTCCAGCGCATTAACCTACAGTGCTACACAAGGTT